GGAACCCGGTAATAACAGCTCACCGAGCAGAATCTTTCTTCCTAGCTACTCACACCTTATGCTCCAGAATCTCAGCTTTTATTTTTAATAATCTCATTCAAATTAAAATTTGCCTTAAGATAGCAAATTACCTTTCACATTGTGAACAGAGGCACAAATCAAGGAAGGTATTATTAGGATTCCTCTTTTTTAGTTTTTAAGACTGTTACTAGACTAGACACTTATCTGTCTCCCCAGGGAGGTAGAGGAGCAGCAATATCCTCATTTTACGAATGGTAAACTCAGTGACTTGTTTCCTCAGAGCAAGTTTTTGGGTTTGGGTCAAGACAGATGCACTGAAAAAAAATTACTCAATAGACAAAGAACCTTTGAGAAAAAGGACAACACTTTGAAATGAAAACCAAACCTTTTTTTGAAGAAAAAACTGCCTTGGGGGGCAACTGAGTTTGTTCCAGCTTTGCTTCTTTCCAATATATAAAAAAGTCCTGATATCTATATGTTGCAAGAAAGCCTGGAAGTATATTTTTGGGTCAGGGTTTTTAAGTGTGGAGAGGCTGGGTGTTAGGGGGTGGGCTCTCCTTTCTTCCTGCTCCACAAATAAGTCTCCCATGTTTGGCTGACAGACTTGGACAAGTCCATAAACATGGCGTGGAAGTATTCTAGCATCAGGGCCTCAATGAGGGTTCATTGCCTTACTTTCTCTAATGTCCTAAACCTAAGTTTTCTGGGTATCTAAGTAGTCTTCCTAGGAACATAAGACCTGAATTTATTTACTTTTTTTAAAAAAAGGAACCTCGCCTTTATAGGTACTTAAGGAGGACAAGGCTTTTCCCTTTTCTCCCTGAACGTTGCCTTTATGGCATTGTGGAGCATGGGACATACTAGTCTGCAACTGGCTGCCGTCTCCCAGATCTGTCAGCCACAAGTGCCGTCAATAAGAAGCTTGTGAAAAACAAAAAGGATTTAGGGCTTAACTGGAACCACCATGCATTAGCATACATGGTGGGTCCATCTGATGGGCTGTGGGGGGAGGCTGTGCGCACTGGTAATAAATACAGGGCTACAGCAGATAATAGCTGCTTTTCATTATTGCTTCTATACGAAAACAAGGATGCTCAGCTGAGAAGAAGGGTCCTAAAAGACCTTGTGTTATAAAACAGCAAATGTTCCTGTAGCTGGGACCTTTTGTGCTATGGTGAAAATCTGCATGAGCAGTACTGAGGTAAGTTCTTCATTATCCTTCATGATGATAATAAATCCCTGGGATACAAAAGACTCAAAGTTACTTTGGGTGTAATGAGATCTACGCTATCTTCTTGTCTGAAGATGACTCAGTGTAGCATGGGGACTGAATGCTTTCCTTCTCTAGATGTTGCTGGTGAGGAAAAATCACTGTAGACTTGGATATGTGTTAGGTGACAGTATGAAACGAATATTTGGATGTGCAAAACTCTGTCACTACAGTACCCAGGTACTCGTAATGAGGAAAAGCTTGCATACTGTTTTACCGTTTGTTGTTGTTTTCTGGTTTAGGAGTTATAATGAAAGACTGGTACAATAAGAATGTGTGGGAAGTGTGTATGCACAAATGCACTCCCCATCTAGTGAACTCTTCACTGGTGTGGGTGTACATCCTATAGTTTCTCAGAAAGCCTGTTATCTGACTTAATCTATTACTTAAAGAGACCACACCAGGTACTGTTTAAGCAAATAGCTGCATGCAGGCAAGGTGGCATACCTAAATGCCAATGCGAGTGAGAATTTTAAAGTAGCTTAAAAACCTGGTATTCCTGTTGCCTCTCCAGGTCTTTTAAGCAGATCCCAGACCAGAACCTTGAATATGAACCTTGGCCCAATTCTTGAGGAAGGTCAGCTCAAGATCAGCTCCTCTATAGCTTTCCAAATTCACTCTGCAAATCTTGAGCATAGGACTCTTACTGTGACACTCTACATGAGAACAAAGCTACTACTACGCCTTTTCACCAGATACCTACTGTACAACTTGGGGGCCACTTCTGCATTTCTGTTCTGCAAGTATATGTTGTAATGGGTGATGCAGCCCATTTGCTGATGGTCAGGGATTTCATCCCATGAAACCCAAGCGCCGTCTGCCTCTACTGTTGCGGAAACCTGGGGTCCAGCTGCCGGTGCTGCAAAAAACAAAACTGTCTTAGATTCATAGATTCATAGATTAAGGGTCGGAAGGGACCTAGTAGATCTTCTAGCCCGACCCCCCGCCAGGGCGGGAGAACAACAAAAAACCCCAAAAAGAGAAACGGGACTCAAATGAGTCCAGCCAGGTAGGCATCCAGCCTCTTCTTAAAGACCCCCAGGGTAGGGGCCAGCACCACTTCCCTTGGAAGTTGGTTCCAGCTCCTAGCCGCCCTAACTGTGAAGTAGTTTTTGCGGATGTCCAATCTATACCTCCTCTCCATCAACTTGTGCCCATTACTCCTTGTTATGCCAGCGGGCGCTAGGGGAAACAGCGTCTCCCCCAAACCCTTCTGGTCCCCCCTAGTGAGTTTATAGACGGTCACCAGGTCCCCCCTCAGCCTTCTCTTGTGGAGGCTGAATAGGTTCAGGTCCCGCAGTCTCTCACTGTAGGGTCTGCCCTGTTGTCCCCGGATCATGCGGGTGGCCCTCCTCTGGACCCTCTCCATGTTGTCCACATCCCTCTTGAAATGGGGCGCACAGAACTGGACACAATACTCCAGCTGTGGCCTGACCAGTGTCGCGTAGAGGGGGAGGATCACCTCCTTGGCTCTACTCGAGATGCACCTGTGGATGCACGACAAGGTCCGGTTAGCCCTGCCAACCATGACCTCGCATTGTCGGCCCATGTTCATCTTGGAGTCTATAATGACTCCAAGATCTCTTTCTGCCTCCGTGCTCTCGAGTAGGGAGTCTTTTTTTAAAGTCAAATGGTCAAGCTAGTTTAAACATAATACTTCAAATGATATTACCATAGTTTACCTTCCTGTCTCGAGTATCCCCTGGTTGAAGCCACTTGTCCAGCTCTATTTTTATAAAGTGCAAATACATTGATGCGATAGCATGCACAATGCTTTATGTTCTCTGAAAGAAGAGATTAACACTGGGTATGTGATCAAAATATTATTTACTTAGTAAATTAAGTTGAAATTCTATTTTATTCTTCAAATGGAGCAAAAAGCTCCTGGTAACTTTAGCCTCCTGTCTGGCAGTTTTGAACAGTGTGTGAGAGAAATGTATCCATGGGAAGGCTAGAACACAAGCGATTCTGAAATGTGAACACCTGTTTGTGGACGGGAGGCAGCTCTGGCTGCCACTGGTGAATGAAAGCTTGAAGAAAATATCTTCACACAACTTAGTTTTAGGGAAGCAGAAGAGAAGCAAGCAATGTAAAGCAGCTTGTAGGTTTAATAGATGTGCTGCATGGGGTTGCTGTGGCTTGTGGGATGCTAGTAACTTGCTTTCCTCTGGTGGAGAACAAGATAGTGAGGTCCTTGTGAACCCAGTTGGGAGCAAGCTGGCATGCAATAGTAGTAGCACAGCCAACTTAGAATAATGATGAATAACAAACTAATATCTAGATAGTTCTTCAGCATGCTCTGCACTGATCCTTTGGGACTTGCTGGGATGAATAATTACCGATTGTCTGACTCAGGAAGGTAATGGAGTTGTATGCTTTGTTGCAGAGTTCAGGGGTTTGTCCAGCACGCGTCTTATTTCATATGGAAAGGATGGCTATTCACAGTCCATTTTAAAAAAAGATTTAAAAATCTACTTATCAGTTACAAACATTCAGGAATCACTGACAATATAACTATGCAGAACTTGACTTAGGGAACGGTGATCGATGAATGTGTTTAAAAATTCTTCAAAACAACTTCACTCCATGGGAGTGTTTCTAAATGGAATGATATTTCAATAACGTTCTACTTCTAAATTACAGTTACCCGAAATGACTGTAGACAAGTCAGATGCCAGAAGCTTTATCCAGTTTAGATGGCGTCTGGAGCTGGTACTTCTTACCCATTCCACTATGTATCCATTGATGAATGATGAAGGATTACTGGGAGGCTCCCAAGTGACAAAGATGCTGTCGTTCCCCTTTGATGTAGCAAAGACGCTCTGAGGAGGTAAATCTTAAGGGGGCAGGTGGGGGGGTGGGGAAGATCACAACAAATATGTTGTTATGCTTCTTTAACCTCCTATAAGTGATAGGTAATATTTATTTCTCAAAATCTGTTGCATTTTGGATTGACAGATGTGACATAGTGCATCTTTTAATTGTAGCTGCTGCCTTTCTGCAGCTTAATGCTCTGCAATGTACACATGTAATAAAAGAAGCCATTTTCAGAGTCATGGCTTATTGACAGACTAAATCTATTGAAACTAGTAAAAGGGCTGGAGTGTTAACACTTCCTACTGCTAATTAAATACAGGCTTCAGGGAAAAATTAATAGAACCATTAAAATGGACTTTAAAAAAAGCGGATGCCACAGGGAAGCAATTGGGATAAAGTTGTACCCTCAGCTCTTATGCACACTTGCCTTGGAGTGCAGATCAATTGGTTGTTCTCCCTATTAGGCACTCATAGATCATCTAATATCTAGAAGCAGGAGCCATTTGGCACCAGTAACCCTTTCAGAAGAATGGGTGCAACACCTTAAGCAGCACCTGTTCTCGACACATCCACTCCCAGGTCTCACCTGCAGTTGGGGCAATAAACCAAACTACTGTATAAGGCAAAAGGGGATTTAAAGGAATGATAAGTGAGAGACAAAATAATGGTGCAAAATCCTACCCCTCATCCTTTTCCCAAACCCACAGGCTTACGTTGCATCATGAGATGGCAATCAAAGTATTCAGAGCTTAACACATCTATGCCCACCCCCGAGTTGCTGTTAATGTTGCTTGCACTCGGGAACTGCCTGGCTCTCGTTACCAGGCAAGAGTCATGAGTGCACGTGCTCCACACAAGGGTGAAACCCTTGCCTTCAGGTTCAGCCGGTGTCCCTTTTCCCTGTAGAAGGGGAAACTGATACCAAAGCTGGATCATCAAGTTTCTGCCTACCTGCGGATAAGCATTGGACATAATCTGACTATAAGACAATGGTGGCTGAATTGCATACATAAAGTAGCTCTTTTACCTACAAAATAGCCATGTAGCAATGGTGTCTATACGCATTTCTATTTAGACAGTGGAACAGGGTCTATGCTATTGATCTGAGCAGGTAGATCAGGCTGCCTTTGTGGGAGGTACCTGGAGGATGTTAATGCATGACAAAATAAGGAACATGTGGAGGACATGCAGAGTTCATTACTACCACAGACATGGACAAGCACTAAGAGTGATCCTATTTACATTGCAAATGAGCACTTACACTTCTGTACCAGAAGGCAATTTGTGCTAGTCTAGATTGCTGTCATCCCTTAATCATGGCTAATTGAGTTCATTTGCTAAAAACTGTTACAAGGTCGCAAGTGCTTATAGGAAATCCTGCTACTAATTAGTTACAAACATTATTACAAATTAACAATGGTTTAAGACTGATCAAAACTAATCTTAATTGGTGCAAAGTAAAAGGATAGCTTTTATAGATCTTGTGCTGCAGAAGCATTTGTCCCAGCATACAGAATGTCACTCCTTTGCCCAATATGGAGACAATGGCCTTAAATGTATGCTATTTTTATAGTACTACAGGCTGTGAAGGAACCATCTGTTCTCTCTCCCGCCTTGGAAGGGATAATGTGCAAGCAGAGGAGGCCCACGGGCCCCTCTGTAGCACCACATGTCAGAATACAGACATTGCATATGGTGCTACAAGACACCCTGCTACAAAGAAGTTTCTCTCTCCTGTGTAAAGAGGAGTATTTGTGATGAATCTGCCATTTTTTGTTGATACAAAGTGGCTGCATGTGTTGGTCTTTAGTGCAGGAAGGGTGTTCTTAGCACTAAGAATGTAATGTGCACACCTACCCAGTATCACTTCTATCGATTCAAGTAGCAAAGGTGTTTACCTGAAACATTCAGATGAGTATCAATGGATGTAGGAGGAAAGATTCCTCTTGAGTTATGAGCACAGACCGTTATGTGATAGTTCATCTTGGGGATAACCTTAATATAGTGAGTTTGTGTGGTAGTGTTCACTTCTGCTGCTTTAGGACTTTTGTGGCTGTTTTCTTGAAAGGTCACACTGTAATGCAGGATTTTTCCTCTTGCTTTTGATTCATTTAAAGCCTACAGTGAAAAACAAATTGTAACTTACAAAATAGTGGGATTCCTATTTGAAATTGGGCGCATCCAGAGGAGTGTGTACATGCCTTTCCCCGGGGACACATGCTCCTACTTGTCCCCAGCGAAT